GTGCTTTATTATTGACAAATGGTTAGAACAGTGCTGAACATATGCTGAGCACTCAATAACTGTTAGCTATAATTATTATTTTCCCTCCCCCATCCTCCACCACAGTCAAGGCAGGACGATGTGGATCATGGATCATCCCTCTGCCAGTCATGCCCTTCCTAGGCTGGAGCTTGTCTGCCCTTTGGGAATGTGTTGTCCCCTCCCCCAATTGCTATTGATGTCATTTTAGTCTGCCTTTTAGGGGATAGGAGGATTTGTTCCCAACTCCCAAGCTGCTAGGAGTTCCTATTAGATGCCTTGCCTGAAGAGGGGCCATGGCACTTTCTAAAGATTTCTCTCCAGGGATCCGTGGCTCAGCCTCAGCTCAGTATAATCAGCCCCAAGCTTGAAGACCTCCAGAAGTGCTGCCCGTGTTAGCTCCATCATTGTCATTCCTTGAGGGCTTAAAGCCCAGTTCTCTACTTCACGCAGAGGACAGAATGGTCTAGATTGAGGGTGGGGGTGGTGCCATGAGCTTCCTAGTCAAGAACAGCAGGGAATGCCAGAGGGAGCTGGCGAGAAGTTCACGGCCTGCAGGGGCTGAGGGAAGGCCCTCCATGTCCCCCGCAAGAGCATGCTCCCCACTGATACCCACCAATGCAACCCTCCAAAGAGGTTACCTCTGGAGGTGGATCAGCCTAAGGGAATAAGGGAGTCTCGAATCAATGAAGACTCCAGCATAGAGGCAAGAGGAACAACAGTTGAAAGATCCAGGCCAACTTTGAAGAAGCAGAGAATTAAAAATAGCTGAGCTTTTCATTTTTTTTCCTTTGGAGGGGGAGAGGGAATTAGGAGGGTGCTGGAGCTGGACAGGATACAAGAAAGATTTGTTCTGCTTGTTCCAGGAAAAGGCAAGTGGGTGTGAATTCAATTTTCTGGATCACTGCCTGGAGTGGTCACATATCACCACAGATCAAGGATTCTCTTGCCACCAGAATTCTCTTTGCAGTAGGCACTCCCCCTCCCAGCCCTCTGTCCGCAGCTGTTACAACTCTGGTCTTCCCAGGGCCTGGACATGCCCCTTTGCAGGATTCAGTGGCACCACGTTGGCTGACACTTGAGGAATTCACCTTTGGTCCCTACGTGCTGAAGGTAGCATTAGATTGGACACTGGGACTAGAGGGCAGCAGCATAACCCCGGCCCATCCCAGTCGTCAGAGTCAGCTTGGAGGACTCCAGAGGAGGTTGGAGCTGAGCGCTTGAATCTAGAAGAGGGACACTATTCAGCCCACGAAACCCTTTAAAGAGGCAAGTAGTTTCACTTGGGGCTTTGGCTTTTGTCTGGGACAGGATGAGAATGGAGCACGGAACAGCTCCTGAGGCTGAGGCAAAGGACGGTCTGCCAAGAAGACACTGGTCAGGAGGGAACAGGGAGGGTAGAAATCCAGACAAGGTGTTGGCCAAGTGAAGCCAGCTTTTAGGCTATGGGGTTGTGGGAAGGAATTACAGAGAAGGAACTACTATTTATGAGGTCATTATTATTATGTGGTAGGCAGAGTGCCAGGGCTTTCCTGTAATGATAATAGCTAACTTTTAATGAGCACCTACTGTGTGTCAGGCACTTTCAGTACTCAATCTCACTTAATCCTCACAACTACTCTCTGAGTTTGACATTATTATCTTCACTTTTACATTAGGCAACAGAAGCTCAGAAAAGTTAAGTGACTTGCCCAAAGTTGCACAGCTGGTGCAGAACTGAGATTTGAATCTAGTTCTTACTGGCTTATTATACTACACAACCATTCCTCAGTGCAAACTCCTCAGAATCTTTGTCTCAGGAAATACTCTAGGAAAAAAGAATTTCTTTATTGTATTAGTTAGGACAGGATAGGATAAATATTGTAACAAACAGCCCCCAAATCTCAGTGGTTTAATGCAACCAACAATTTCTCTTTTTATCCACGTCACGATCCAGTGCTGCTTGGAAAGAGTGAGGTTGGGCTGGGCTTGTGGGCTCTGATCTACACAGTCATCCAGGGACCCAAGCTTATTTCATAGTGTAGCTTGGCTATCTTTCTGTCCCCGGAGTCTTTTACTGAATGTTCTGCATTCCACCAACAGGTGAGAGAAAAGAGAAAAGGTGGAGGAGGCATACCCATTCTTATCTGCCTCAGCCTGGAGGGGACACACAGCACTTCTGCTCACATTCCACAGCTAAGGGCTGATCACCTCATTGTAAGGGAGCCTGGGAGATCTAATTTGGTGGTGGGCCCTGTAAGAAGAGGAAATACCTTCAGTGAGCATCTGTACAGCCCCTGCCAGACTGACCCCATATTCTATCTTGCAATCCCCTGAAGTGTCAGCTCTGCTGATTATAGCGTGTGACCTTGGATGGGTTACTTAGCCTCTGTGCCTCTATTTTCTCATCACTAGAATGAACAGTTGCTTTTATCTTATGCGATAAGGATTACAAGAGGACTAATACATGTAAAGCACTTAGCTCTGAGCCTAGCACACAGTCAGTGCTTGATAAATGGCATCTAGCCACAAACTCTATTCTCTCCATTTTTTGGAAGCCATAATGCATATTAGCATATTGGAGGTTCTGAGAAGTCTCAAAGTAAAAAGACTTCTTATTTTTAAGTTTTGGTTAACCCAGCCTTTCCCAAATATATTTGCCTGTAGAACCCTCTTTTTTCACATTACACCTCTCAACATCCAGTGGAAAGGACATTCTCTGAAACATGCTTTGGGAAACTCCACTTTTCTTCAGTGAAGGGCTCTAATCAACTGTTCAGTGCTTTGGAGATGTTTTCATTTGATATTATTGATACTTTCTTTCCTATTCATTATCTCCTATTTGGAGGGCGGATGGAGGGAGGTTCTTTTTTAAAAATGCCAGCCTGTGTCAGCTGGGCTGCTGAGGACAGGGAAAAGGCACTGTGTCTTTGTTGGGGCTGGGGCTTTCTAAGAGGAGGAGCAGAAACTGGGCTGGTGGCTCTCGTGGCTGTGGGATAAACAAGAAGATGGAAGTCCAGAGGGACCAAGTCAGCCCTCTACTCTAACCTTCCAGTTCAAAGCTTGGAGGATAAAATCTCAAGAATGCTATGGATCATTCCACTGATTCTATTCTCCTCTTAAATCTATGAGTGGAGATGGGAAAATGTTCTCTTATTATCTGAGAAAGGCCAGCAATGAACAAGGCACCATACTAGGCTGGGGCTACCTGGTCCTCATACTCCTTACACATGGGCTATATGTAGCACATCCTCTGCCAGCCACAGTGCCCTGAATGTAGACTCGGGCAGTTCATAAACAGCCACTGTCTCAGCTGATTCTCAGGAAGGAGCCATTGCTGTATCTGAATAGTTTGCTGCCTGCCGACCCTTTCTCAAGACTCCAGACCCATCTCTCTGACTTCCTCTGTTGCCTGCCTGGCCCAGGGAAGGAGGCCCTCTCATCTCACCAGAAAGCAGGGGTGGCTGAGAGCAGCTGTAGCTCTACTCTTACTGCTGCAGGCTGCCACCTGCTCACCAGGCCTCCCCAAATGAAAGTGTAATCCAAATAAGGTACCTTTAAGCAGAAGCAGGCTCCAGGCCAACTCCCCCGCTCCCTTAACACACATTCCAGATCGCTGTCCCAAAACCCCTGCTACATAAAAATGGCTGGAACTTTGTTCCTTGTCTCCCTCCCTTTTTCCCTCCTCATCACCCTTTGAGACTTTCTTGACTGGTAATTATCCTAGAGCAGACAAACCTAGGTCAATGAATGCTCATGCTTCTTCATCTAAGGGCTCTCACCGGCTGTGCCTCATGCCCACATGGGCCAGCACATCTGCCCCTACCCCCAAGAGTGCTTCCTTTAGCATCTCAGTGCAAGGCACCAGGTGGGAGGGAGAGAAGAGGAAGCAGGAGACAGTCTCATTGCGGGAAGCTAAGGTAAGCTCCCCATGGCAAAAGCCATATCTTATACCCCTTCTCAACTCCCTCTTCCAGCCCTTGTGCCCAGCACAACGTGGGCAGGAGGCTGACAGCAGTAAGAATTCACTTCATGTTTGCTGGGTGACTGACAGCCAATTCTCTGCTGTCAGCACTAAATAGAAGCTCTGCAGTGGCAGCTCTGGCTCCTCCCTTCACACTGCCTCGCTACCCCTGCGCTGAGCAAGCAGCCTCCTCAGGCAGGCTCACCTGCCACCGGCCTGTGAGCTCCTCAGCAGCTCAGCTTGGAAGGAGTCTGAAGAAAGAGGTTTGCTTGGTTTTGTTCTGTGCGGATATGGTTGGGTGATTCTAGCAACCAGGTGCAGGCCCCAGGACAAATCTTCAGGACACATCAACATAGGTTACAACCCACTCACCCACAACACACACATATTCACACACACACACACACACACACACACACTTAATGAGCAACTACTGTGTGTAACGTTAATGAGAGCATTAAAAGTGGCCGAGAATAATCACAGAGGGGACGATACGCCAATATGTCAACTAAGAGTAAGATGCAGCCTACTGGAAAATGGAATTTTCTTTAGAGAAATTGCCAGAGACCCAATAGAATCTCTCTTTAAGTACTCTTCTAAAAGCAGCATGACATACTGTAAAGAACAAGTCCTGGGTTTTTGTGTGAGCTTCTCTGCTTACTAGCTGGGTAGTTTGGAGAAAGTTATTTAAATTTTCAGAGTCTCAGTTTCATTATCTGCAAAATGGTGATGATAATGACTTCCTTGTGGGATAAAAGTGAGGTAATGTATGTATTACTCACTGCAGGGAGCGAGAATGCATACAACGGAGAATCAGGGGGTGCTTCAGGATTGGGACTTAAAGTGATTTCGGGGAGGATTTAAGGAAGTGGGGCTTTGCTCTGGACTGGATGCTATCAGGAAGCGGGAGTAATTCTCTAATTGGGTATCTTAATAATTCTTATTTAAAAAGAGGGAATATTAGAGCAAAGATAAAGATATAATTAATGAAGCAGCAGTCACTCATATTAGCCAGAAAACAGGGAACTTTGGTCATTTCTATGGTTTAGATATTGTTCATGTTTTCCATGTTCAAATCTGATTACACAGTGGTCTTTTCAGTCAAATGCTCTCCCAACTGAGTTATTTCAGCCTCCACAGTGGTCTTTTTTGGTCTTGATCCATTAAGATCACAACTTGGCCTTATTTGATGACGATGTTCTGTGAAATTGTTTAGCGGGAAAACAGCAAGGCTCAACTGATAGTACGAGATCAGGTCCTAGCTGTCAGGGGCTGCTTAGTGCCTCTCTTTTAGCCAAGGGCAGATGAAGTCAGGCTACAAGACATTAATCAATGGCATCCAGACTTTCAGCATTGCCACGATTGTGCTGATCAGGAGGTTGCTTAGAGAAGGTAGTCTGTAGTAGGATTAGAGTTCGTCTGTTCTGCTTGTTATGCTGCAAGATGAGTTGTTGAGTCCTCTGACGTGACAGTGGTTGTATAATATCATTTGAAACTCTAGACAGGATACATCAGCCAACTGTAACGCTAACAATGATCAGAAACAAAAGGACAATGAGGCCAGGAAACAAGTGGCTTTTTTTTCCAGCTATTTCACTTATCTTACAGTATATAGGCATAGCAAGAAGTATTTGCTATGACATAAAGTCCCCCTTGACTAGTTAAGAGAAAACCAAGGGTAACGTGATTGTCCATAACAGCCCTAGCTACTAAATTTAGGCTAGTTTGTTGGGCTTTCGGAGTAGATGTTATATCATTTAAGAATTTTTCTGGGGTCAGAAACAAGTTTTGGACCATCTTTACCAGTTGTATTATTGCTAATGTGGGAATCATCTTGAAGAGTATCCATGAAGAGGCAATCAGTTATCCTTTCTGAGATAGTGGCTTGTGTGTGCCTCATTTTGGAGGTAATTGGGTAATTTTGGGGTAATTTAAAAATTATTTCTAGAAAACATGATCCTCTGGAGGAGAGGTAATTTCAAATATCTGAAAGTCTCTAAAAATTGCCCTGAATACACAGGATAAGTTAGTGTGATGTCTCATGTCCACTTAGTACCCTAGTGGGGCACAGACTGTATTGGCAGCAAAAGTACCACTTATGACAATAGCAGTGAGCCCATTTTGTGTCTTTCTAAGTTAACATTTTTTTGAGTTAACAGTTCTTGCAAAGCAGTCTGGAGTATCTCTGAAGTCTTTGCCTACACAGATGTGGAGAATTCCCTAACAGAAGTAAGCAAGTGTGGGTTTTTCTTTCTTCAAGTAAATGAAAAAGGCTGCCTGGGTTTCGAGTGTCACAGTAACCGACAATGTGAAAAGGAAAGCAATATTTCCTAGGAGGTTAGGCAACTAGCTGGAAAGTGGTGAGCATTTTTTGTCAATGAAAGAGTTTGCACAGCATGGGGAACCATTACGTTTAGTGGAGATCTAGAACTAAGCTAATTGAAGTTTTTACATGTTTTGCTATTGCTGTTATAGCTCTTCGACAAGGTGCTATGTCTTAGCTACTGGATCTAATGAAAGACTGAAATAAGCAATATACCTCGGACAACTCCCATGTGATTAAGTTAGTGCCCCCACTGCCGATCCAGAAACTCTGTGAACAAACAGAGAAAAAGGGTTGGAGAATCTAGAATCCTAGAAAAATGCTTTGCTAGACAGGTATTGTATCAGTCTTTGTGCTTAACTATGAGTATGCTTCTTTTAACTTGAAAGTTATTGGAGATAGATATCTATATTTGCATATTTTACTTATGCCCAAAAGATAACCTCTGTCTTTTACTATGTCAGGTTCTTTTGTTGTTTTTTTTTTTTTTGAGGAAGATTAGCCCTGAACTAACTGCTGCCAATCCTCTTCTTTTTGCTGAGGAAGACTGGCCCTGAGCTAACATCCATGCCCATCTTCCTCTCCTTTATACATGGGACGCCTACCACAGCATGGCTTGCCAAGTGGTGCCATGTCCGCACCTGGGATCCGAACCGGCAAACCCCAGGCCAGTGAAGCGGAACATGCGAAATTAACTGCTGCACCACCGGGCTGGCCCCTGTCAGGTTCTTTTAATACTAAGTTTGGTAGACAAGATTCTCATAACAGTTTGACTTTATCAAAAGTTGGAGAAATTTAGACAAACCTAATTATTCTTATTATCTTTTCTTTTATAGTGTAAAAGGGCGAATCTTTGTGGTACCTAATGGCCATTTTAGGAAACCCAAAGTGAGGCATAAAAGACATCTTAATACTTTTATTAGTCTGCATTTGGGAAAGGCGAAATTAAGAATAGTTGTTAGAAAGGATAAAGTATAAGTTATAAATATCTAAGGCAAGAAATATTTATAGTTAACATTGTAAAATTACCCAACAATAAACAACAAAGTCTATTAGGAAATTCACTTTTTTTAAAGTAAGGAATTTTTCAAAAAATCATTTCAGAATATCTCACAAAGCTCTGAGAGTTAACAGAATAATTTGGTGACAAAAAGGAGCCTCTACTAATCTGGGCATAGAATAACTTAGTCGTTCCACATAAAAAAGACCCAAATTCGAATTTTACTCCTTTGCTATATTATCATGTAGCAATTTATAGTAAAGGTTTTATTAATATACCCTTATATATATGTACTTATGCATACACTGATATATAAATATGAAAATAGGTAATAATCTCAAGCTTTTAACTATAGGTTTAAATATAATTAGCTTATCAGTATATTAAATAAAATATATTAAATTTATCATATGAATAAACTATGATAACTTTTTTAATAAACAAAATTAAAATAATATCCATTATCTTATATACATATTTCTATTTCTTGGTAATTATTGTACTAAGTATAACTAACCATTTATATTAATTCTTATCTTTAATCAAAATAACCAACTTTTCTTTCTTCAAAGATAAGAGAAAACTAGAAAAAGAAAATAAAGAATTGTTTAGCTATTTTTTTCTCCACAAGCAATTATTTCATATCATTGTAACAGTTTTAGGAGGAAAAAAAAAATATATCCAAAAGCTTTTGCATATTTTGTTAATTGATTGCCATCAAAAAAAAGAAGAAGAAAGCTATGTTTGTATCTGGTTTATTTTTTTATTTTTGGAACTGTCCAGACAGCCAAAGATTATCTGTAATTAACTTAGGTCTAAGGTCTTAAAGTTAGCTGAGAATCCGGAAATTATGATTTAGCTAACACATTGAATTCTTACGATTCATAGTATTTTAAGAATTTCATAAAGTTAAACTTTTGATAATATACCCATTCTTTTTATTCTTTTTAGTTGAATGCAATTTTAGACATATAATTTTAATTTTAAACAAGTGATAGAAACAGTGGTAACTATTTAATTCATGAAACCAATGAAGGAAATTTAGGAAGTTTGAATTATTAGAAATTTAAACCTGGTCTTGAACAAATCAAAATAATGTGCTAAAGACACTGAATCACACCAAATTCTTCTTTTATCTTGAAACTAAAGCCTCTTCTTATTTTCTTATAGCGATAGTAACAAGGTTATTAGGTAAATAGACTTTTCAGTGCACACAAAAATGTAACGTGGTTTAATAACTTTTAAAATTTTCTTTTAGACAAATTTGACTTTATCTGGACTAGATTTTCCTAGAGTATATGCAAAATAAATAATTTTTTGATAAGTTAATATTTAAAACATCACAAGAGAGGAAAAAGAGAGAAAATGGAACAGAAAAAAGATAAAAATGGAAGAGCCAGCTACAGTCAAATATGTAATTATCACTGTACAGAGCTAGTTATCTGGTTTTGATATAACATGGACCCTTGACAAGTTTATCAAGCTGTATAATTAAAAAGCCAGCATTTATTAATCCCCCAAATGTGGAAACCAGGGAGGTGATATCGCCTATGTTAAACAAAGTCATCTCTCTTTTAGACAAACAGGAAAATCCCCATGAGAGCTTCTTTTGCTTTTTGTTCTAAAGTACCTCTTTTGTTCATGTTCAAAGCTCCTCAAAGGGGCCACTGCAATTTTAAATTGACCCTACCGAAATTGTGCCAGTTAGAAGGGTAAGCATACAAGTTAGCACTATGGGGAGAAAATATGAAGGAAGCAGGTGTTTAGCCTGGAATAGGTCCATTTTTAGATGGAAAAAACCCCATGAGAACTCAAAGGTCTGTTTTGATGGTAGTGGTGAACTTTGTGTCTCCAGAGTTTGGTCAAAGGCCAATTTGCCACCAATCAGGGGCCGGACAAAATCTCCTGATTCTGGGTAGATGAAACTAACGAAAGCAGGTCTCAGGGACAAAAAGATAAGATTGAAAGTCTTCATAGGTTTTGAAATGATAACCTGACACAAAGTTTGCTCGAAAAACACTGATCTGAGGAGACCTTCTGAACTCTTCAGTCCCCAGGACCAGCTCAAGGACAAGTTTATTGAATCTATGTCATCCTCTCCCTATAGACTTTTCCTCTTGTAAACAAACATCAAAGATGCTAGCCAAGCAGATAGACTATAGGAGCACATGTTAGAAGGCTAGAAAACAGTTTTACCAATGGACAATACAAATCTGATCAGATAACCAAAAGTACCCCAACGGACCTCATTCCTGGAAAAGGAAAATAACTCTAAAGCTGAGGGAGTTCAATGAAATATCAGAGTGCAATTCAGCGTGAACTTACCTCCCAGCTATGGGCAGCCCTGCGTCTCAAACAGATAGACACATGGAGTCTCAGATGTGGTCACCATTACTAGGTGGGAGATCTGGGTCCAAGGAAGTGAGGGCTTCAGCTGAATTTCAGTGAACCTCCATTGCTGTCAATGGCCTCTAGCCCAAGACCACCAGGAGCACACCTGGGGTTGAACAAGTTGGGCTTATTGCTCGTAGCCACGAGGGAGAAACTTGGGGGACAGTGGAGTGACAGGGTGTCTCCTTTTGCTGTAACAAGCAATAAACCCAACTTTATCAAACACAGGTGTATTCCTGGGGGTCTTTTGCTGAAGGGCCCTGACAACACACGAAGCTGGAGAGCCCGTACTTTGGTTCCTGCCACTTACTAGCTATGTGACCTTGGGCAAGTCACTTGAGCTCTCTGATACTCAGCATGCTCATCTGTAAATTGGACAAAGTAGCAGTAGCCACTTCTTTGGGCTGCCGTAAGACCTAGAAGTAAAATTTGTTTAAAAAACAAAACGAAGGTGTGATAGCTAGGTTGTGCCTGAAGTGGCTCCTAGATTAAACAACTCAGGAATCCAGTGGCCTAGTGAATCTGGGTGCCTGTGATTTTCCTATAGACAGACAACGCTGCTCTGCTGGCTCTGGAGCTGGCTTGAAGGAGAGGCTTGTAGCCTGCAGTAGACCATTTTCCCCAGTCAGGGAACCCTCTACCTGAGAGCAATTTCTCCAACCCCGATCCCTGACATATTTCTAATTGTTTGTAGTACACCATTCAGCACTTTCGGATATATTCTCTCTGCAGCAATGCTCTTGGCGTAGTGGGAAGAACACTAGACTCAGACTTAGAAGAACTAAGTTTGACTCCTAGTTCTTCCAGTGGTAGCTGTGAGCTTCAGAAGCCTCAGTTTGCTCATGTGTAAAATGGGTATAACAACCATACCTCACGTGTTGTGAGATTAACAGGGATTACGTTTGTGCAAGAGGAATGAGGTGATAGAATGATTATTTTATTAGTTGACATCAGGGTTTCTCTTAAGAAAGGGACAGGTTTTTTTTTAAAGGAAAATACTCTGAAGGGCAATTTCAGGGAAGAAGAAGCTCCAACAGAAAGGATTGGAAGATAGCCCATATGCAGCTAAACTGCTCTTCGTAAGAAATAAACATGAATTTGGGGTGGGACAGAGAAGAAACAGGAGAAAATGGGAGAAAGGAGCAAGCGTGAGTTCACGGCAGGAGGTTGGATTTTGCAGAGAAATTCTAAGTAGCAACATAGCCAAGGACTTTTAAATACAGGAATGTCTAGAAATCAATTTTTAATTGTTTGTGTTGCTATAATATATGCCCCCCATATACCCAAACCTTGATAAATTCTGCTACTTGCATAAATCCTTCGTGTGAGAGGTTTTGATACAAATCCAAAAAGAAAAGCAGTGTTCCCAATCTGGTGTAACAAAAAGTAGGAAGATGGGAGTGGCCATGGAAGATGAACGGGGTGTGAATAAGCAGTTCATTAGGAGCCCAAATTCAGAACCAGAATTGGTCATGGGATTCTGAGCTCCCTCAGAATTCTCAGAAATCTTGGGGAAGACACCAGACTTCCCCGACAAAGGGTCGGATGGGAGCTCGAGCCAATTTCATCTGACTTAGGAAGAAAAGGCTGACCCTCTGCTGACATCTGGTTTACATGGGCATTGAGGGCCGGCCAAACACAGGTAGGTGCTCAATGTCAGTTGTGTCTGAATCTCTATTTGGTTAAAGTCTCTAATATGCTGTCTAGACGAGGAGGCTTTAACCTCCCTCACGTGAGGGCTGTGTCCAGAAATCTTCCCATTTCTCTGTAGTCCCCTCAAAGCCTGGCAAAGTGCTGGATGCAGGATCAGAAGACACGAGAGAAGACAAGCAGGGGGAAGGTCAGACTCTAAGTATTAACAACAATCGCTACTAATTGT